TGTTTATATCAATCTGTAATATATTATTGTCAATGGATTGTCTTTTGTGTGTGTGTGTTTGTGTGTGTATGAGACGGAGTTTCTCTCTTGTCACCCAGGCGAGAGTGCAGCGGGGCTGTCTCAGCTCACTGCAACCTCTGCCTCCTGGGTTCAAGTAATTCTCCCTGCCTCAGCCTCCCGAGTAGCTGGGATTACAAGTACCTGCCATCATGCCTGGCTAATTTTTGTATTTTTAGTAGAGATGGGGTTTTGCTATGTTGGCCACGCTGGTCTCAAACTTCTGACCTCATTGCCTTGGTCTCCCAAAGTTCTGGGATTACAGCTGTGAGCCACCACGCCCAGCCTCCATGGATTGTTTTCACGGACAATCTTATCTCCACTAAGGCTGTTCATGATCTACTTTGTTGCCTTCACAAGAATCAAATTTTCTAACTGTGTTGAATGCTTTTCAGTTTCTTCAGCATTCCGTTTTATGCTCTAACTCACCTACATATATTTGCTTATGTTGTTTTTCCCACCTTAAATAGCTTCACCAGATTCTTAACTTGAACTCTACTAGCCTTTCAACACTCAGTTCTGGCATACGTGGTCTGGGAAGATAATTTTTCCATGCCCCACCCTCCATTTCCCTGCCAATAATTCCCTATACCCTCACACACACACATGTTTATGCAAACGCAAATCTTCCTCTTTGCATTAATTGACTCTTGTCCATACATCCATCACAAAACTTATCACATTCTACTTGTGTTTATTGTCCCATTTCATACCGCTACTAGAAGGTGAATTCCGTTCAGGTATACTGCATCTTCCATCATTATACCACTGTATTTTTCTTTTCTTCTTTTTTTAAATTTTTTTGAGACAAGGTCTCACTGTCACCCAGGCTGGAGTGCAGTGGCACAATCTCGGCTTACTACAGCCTCAACCTCCAGGCTCAAGCAATCCTCCTGCCTTAACCTCCCAAGTAGCTGGGACTATAGGTGCACAACACCACGCCTGGTTAATTTTTAAAAATTTTTATTAAAGAAGAGTTCTCACTTTGTTGCCCAGGCTGATGTTGATCTCCTGGCCTCAGGCAATCCTCCCACCTTGGCTTCCCAAAGTGCTAGGATTACAGGCATGAGCCACCCTGACCAGCCCTGTATTTTTCAAAGTGCCTAGTACATAAATTTATTTCATTTAAGAGTTGGTCCATGAGGCAGGGTGCGGTGACTCACGCCTGTAATCCCAGCACTATGGGAGGCCGAGGCGGGCTGATCACGAGGTCAAGAGACAGAGACCATCCTGGCCAACATGGTGACACCTCGTCTCTACTAAAAATACAAAAATTATCTGGGCATGGTGACATGTGCCTGTAGTCCCAGCTACTCAGGAGGCTGAGGCAGGAGAATCGCTTGAACCTGGTATGCAGAGGTTGCCTTGAGCCGAAATTGCACCATCTCAAAAAAATGTTCAATGAATAAATATTTAGATAATAGAGAAATCAGTGTTAGTTGGAGTGGTAGATTAGGCACCTGGGACAGCTGGATGTTAAAGTGGATTTTGAAAGAGGAGTAGTGCATGGATCAGCATTGCAGGAGGAAGAGCATGAACAAAGGCATAGAGGTAGGATGGGAGAAGAAAGGCAAATGACATCAAGAGAACAGCAGGTAGGGAGTGGTTGAACAGCCTGAAGAGATCAAGTGCATTAGAAAAAGCCTGAAGGCTAGATTGGAGAATTTAGGCTTGATTCAATAGGCAAGAGAGGTTCATAATTTGAAGATTTCAATTATCTGACAGTGAAATAAATGCACTGATGGAAAACCTAGAGTTATGTGTAACAATAGTAGGACTTTAATAAAAGGTGAAAAATTAAAGAGAGTTATAAGGCAGAAAAACAATAAATGTCATTTGTTAGTGTCTTTATTTGGAAAATACATATATGTATATAATAATAAAATAATATTACATGTACTCAGTGTACAAAGACTATAATATATTTACAATGGACCTATTTTCCTGGAAGCTAATTAACTATTTTTAATTTTTGCTTCCTGAGACCTCTACCAATTCTTCCGTAACTGCCCAGACATTCAAGTTGTTACTTGTTTGTATATACTGCTGTATCTCTACATTGCTTTCAAGAATTTTTGCCAGATCTATGTCTTTGATAAGATTGTAAAAAAAAACAGGTAAATACATGTATTACTTTTCTTTAACATGAAGTTTAGTTGATTGAAAAGTACTCACTCTAAGCATGAGCACAACTGAATACATATTAAAAACTGGTAAAAGAACATAGTTTTAAAGTAATTGATAACCACATAAAATTTTATTATAAACTAAAGTGACTTTTTCAATGTTAGTAGCTATTTATACTTTATAGAGCAAATCTGATTTATGAATTAAATATTTTTTCCTAATTTGAAGATAAATGTTATTTAAAGATTATAAAATATCTAAATATTTTTGAATATACATACATGCACATATATATGTACAATTAAGAATATGCATATGTGTTACTTTCATGAAACATGATAGCTAAATGAAAGTAGAGTTAATTCATGAGCAGGGAAGTACCCAGTCTTCCAGCCTTGTTTCAGCCATCCATTCCCTTGAGAAGGCAAATTTTGTTCAGAGACAAAAGAAAAATGTACTATTAAAATGCAATTCAGAAGTGATAAAAACTGGAAGTGCAGCAGCCGGCTCACAGCACCTCCTTTGTATACTCAGGGACATTGGGGCCACATTAATTTTTGTGTGTGTGATGTCCATCCCATGTGCAAATTAGCACTGGAAGGACCATAATCTATCTTATATGAGAGCTCTTTTCCCAAGTGCATATGTAATACATGCTTCTGTAACTTTGTATAATTCAAAGTTCTGTATTCTGTTTATTTTTTATTTTAAATAGTGTTAGAAAATACTTTCTTTGGAAAATATTAAGAATTTTAAAATAAATATTAAAAAGAAATTGCAGAGAAGTGTTAAAATTGATGAAAGAATGCTACTTTTTCTAACTTTATTAAATGACAAAAATAATAATTTTCTATTGAATTTAGATTTTTAAAAACACCTTTCTTTATCTTAACTAAATGAGATCATCTATATGAAAATGTTGGCATATAGTAATGGCTCAATAAATATATGTTGAACCTCAACTTTTTTTTAAAGTCTGAATTTCAGAATATTTTTCTTAGGAGAATATTTTATTTTGCTATATATAGTTTCTATTTCCCAGAGCTTCCACTTTTCTCTAAATGTTTCTTTTATTTAAAAAACCTTCCAACTTTTATTTCATTAATACCATGTCTCCTTTGATTATATGTGTTAAAAATTTCTGAATTTACTCCTTTTTGCTGCATCATGATGTCTGTTTCCTCTAGCTTATTCCTTATGTTTGGATTTGTGTCCTTCTTCCACATTGGTTATTTTCCCACTGGTAAACCATTCTTAAGTTTATATTAAAAGGGAAAATGCAAAAATTAGATTAGAAACTCTATGGGTGTAAAAGAGTGGCTTTTTGATAGATTTTATTATACTCTGATACACCCTTTTAATTAAAACATCCCCAAATTGTTGATATTTGAACTCGTTTCTCTAAGAACTGTCACGTCTTTTCAGAAGATGCAATCAGTCTTCTGAAGGATATAAGTCCAAGCTGCCAGTGCACTTAAGAGACGATCAAGGAAAGAGTTCAATGGCCAGTCTTTGGATTAAAATCTACATATTCCATTTGGTGCCTCCCCTTGGCCTTCCTCAGTACATGCTTTCCTTGAGACTAGAGCTTTTTGGTGTAAATTTTTTTCTAAGAATAGGCGTTTATGGATACATGGACTGGGACATGGACCTGGGGATTTCATTACTCCTTACATAAGCTTTCAGCTGTTTTCAGCTTCATTCCTTCTCTCACTTTCTGGAATAATTGTAGATTTATTTCCCGAGCTTTTCCCTGGTTCTGCAGGACAAATTGCCCTGTTTCTCTTTGACATCTCATTCTTCTGGCACCTAGATTTCAGTTTTCTTAACTCTTTTTTGTCATTTATGAATTTTCTATCTTCCTTCCACCTGCTAAAAATTAATTTGTGTTTTCAATTGCTCTTTCTTATTTTCTGTCCTATTTCTTCTTATAGGTTTATAACTTTTTTAAAAAATTTCTTTACTCTTATTTCAGTGTGTTTTGGTGAGGGATCTGGGTTACACTAAAAGCATATCACAATCTTAGATGTTCTGTGAGAGTTTATATGGGTTTTAAAAGTTTGGTCTTTTTGTTGATCATAAAAATATCTAAAGTAATAATGATGATGATAATGATAATGGTTGCTGCAACAGGTTCCTTCTATTTTTACATCTGCTTTTAGCACCGACATTATTTATTGGACACAATCTTTTCAGCCTCCATGTTAAATACCTTATATAAATTAAGTTGTTCATTCATTGTAATAACGCTATATGGAAGTCAAGGCTCATTCAGGTAACTTGCATAGGGTAATACAGCTAGCAATGCAAAGCTAAGGTGTGATTACAGGTCTGGCTGACTTGAAGGCCTCATTATTTGTAACTGCTACTGGTACCAATAATGCCACCGTTATTCAAGTGACTTAAAATTGAAGAAAGCCTACTTCAATGAGAATTGACTGTACTGGCTGTCCTTTTGATTTAGGGATACTATTTTAAAATTAAGAACATTTTCATTTATATGATGAATTTTGAGTTTTTTGGCATAATTAATTCATAAATGTATTATTTAGCATTATCTCTATATAAAATACTTGAGACTCACAAAAATTCTGTGACGAACATTTTAGTATCTCCATTTGCAGAATAGAAAATAAAGAATAATAGAAGTAATTAACACAGGTAATCAATGGCAGAGGTTGAAATGGAATCTAGGTATTCTGATTCCAAATCATGTATTATTTTCACTGCACTATAGTACTTCTCCAAAGCCTTATTTTAAAAATCAAGTGTCTCTAAAAATCAAGTTAAGAATAGCTCCTAAATATTTCTTTCAGGTTTTTGCCATTTTCTTCATACCATAAAAATGAAAAGTACATCCCATCAATGCATTTATCAAGCAAGTATTGTCCTATTTCTCACAAAGAACAATTCCGAAGTGAAAATCCTAAGAAATGGATCTGTGACAAGGTGAGTCAACAAAACATTTAAAAAAGTTATTCCTTTTTAAAAGCTAGAAATATACATTAATTAGAGCAAGTATAAATATTCTTATTACAATTAAGACCTTTATGGTAACAAAATTATTTATAGACAGCTGTTTTAGGTAAAGATGGTGTTGCTGACCTATGTAAGATTTTTTTTTTTCAGTATTGCATTCTTAAGTTTTATGACTTAGCTATAACTTAGCTGCCCTAGGGTCAAAGGCATGGATCACTGGCACTGGCATATGACCAGGGTGAGGGCTTGAGTATGAGGTCACAGAATGGAGTTAAGCTAATTCTCAGGCATGGAGATCGGGGCTTCTTTGCTCTCTCTCAATCTATGTATGTATGTTTATAGATAGCTAAAGAAGGGGGGAGAGAAGACATGCATTATATAAAACATGATGTATCACATACATTTAACATGCATATATGTATATGTGCAACTCCTGAGTGTCATATGCACTTGCATAGCAGGTACAGCACGTATATGTGGCACTTGTGCGATATATTAGTCTGTACTCAGGCTGCCACAACAAAGTACCATAGACTAACTTCAGCCACAGACATTTATTTTCTTACAATTCTGGAGGCTGGAAGTCTGAGATAACTGCCAACATAGTTTCTGGTGAGGCCTTTCTTCCTGGCTTGTAGGCAGCTACCATCTCCCTGTTTGCTCATGTAACCTCTTCTTTCTGGGCAGAGAGAGGGCAGGCTCTCTTGTGTCTCTCCCTGTAAGGGCACTAATCCCAAGAGACAAGGACCCCCTTCATGACCTTATTTAAACTCAATCACCTCCTTACAGGTTCTGTTTCTAATACAGTCACATTACAGGTCAGAGATTCAACCTATGAATTCTGGGGAAACAGAATTCATTTCATAGCCTTCCATTCCTGGCCCCCAAAACTCATGCACTCTTGAATGCAAATACATTCTTTCCATCTCAAAAGCCACAAGAATCTTAATACATTTAGTACCCGCTCTAAACTCTAAAGTCATAGCTAAATCGTAGGAACATGACAAGGATGCCCATTCTTTTTTTTTTTTTCTTTTTTGAGATGAAGTCTCGCTCTGTCACTCAGGCTGGAGTGCAATGGCGCAATCTTGGCTCACTACAACCTCCGCCCCCTGGATTCAAGCGATTCTCCTGCCTCAGCCTCCCAAGTAGCTGGAACTACAGGCACATGCCACCACGCCTGGCTAATTTTTTTGTATTTTTAATAGAGACGGGGTTTCACCATATTAGCCATGATGGTCTCCTTCCCCTGACCTTGTGATCTACTGGCCTCATCCTCCCAAAGTTCTGGGATTACAGGCATGAGCCACGGCACCCGGCCTCAAGGATGCCCAGTCTTACAACTACTATTCAGTATAGTACTGGAAGTCCTAGCCAGAGCAATTAGGCAAGAGAAAGAAAGAAAAGGCATCCACACTGGGAAGGAAGATGTAAAATTGTCTGTTTGCAGATGACATGATCTTAAATATTCAAAACCCTAAAGACTCCACACCAAAGACTATTAGAACTAATAAACAAATGCAATAAGGTTTCAGGATGCAAAATTAACATACAAATATTAGTAGCATTTCCATACACTAACAATGAACTGTCCCAAAAAGAAATCAACATCATAATCCCATATAGGAATAACTAAGGAAGTAAAAGATCTGTACATTGAAAACTATAAAATACTGATGGCATAAATTAAAGAAGACACAAATAAATGGAAAGGTATTCTGTGTTCATGGACTGGAAGAATTTAATATTGTTAAAACGTCCATCTAAACAAAGTGATCTATTGAGTCAATGCAATCCCTATCAAAATCCCAATGTCATTTTTCACAGAAACAGAAAAAATAATCCTTGACCAGGCTGGGTGGCTCATGCCTATAATCCCAGCACTTTGGGAGGCCAAGGTGGGCAGATCACTTGAGATCAGGAGTTCAAGACCAACATGGCCAACAAGGTGAAACCCTGCCTCTACTAATAATACAAAATGTAGCCAGGTGTGGTGGTGCCCACCTGTGGTCCCAGCTACTTGGGAGGCTGAGGCAGGAGAATCGCTTGAAACTTGGAGACGGAGGTTGCAGTGAGCTGAGATCGTGCCACAGCACTCCAGCCTGGGTGAAAAAGTAAGACTCTGTCTCAAAAGAGAAAAAACAAAAAAGAAGAAGAAAAGGGAAAACAATCCTAAAATTCCTGAACCACAAAAGACCCTGAACAGCCAAAGCAGTCTTGAGCAAAAAGACTAAAGATGTAAGGATCACGCTACCCGATTTCAAATTATATTACAAAGTCATAGTAATCAATACAACATGGTCCTGGGATAAAAAATAGAATAGGATACAGAACCCAGAAATAAATGCACACATTTATGCCCAATTGATCTTTGACAAAGGTGCCAAATACACACAATGGGGACAGGATGGTCTCTTCAACAAACGGTGATGAGAAAACTGTATATCCACATGCAGAAGAATGAAAGTGAATCCTTATCTCACACTATATGCAAATATCAACTAAAACTAGATTAAGACCTGAAACTGTAAAACTACTAGAAGGAAATATAGGAAAAAAGCTTCTTGACATTGGTCTAAGCAATTATTTTTTGGATATGACCCCAAAAGTATAGGCAACAAAAGCAAAAATAGACAAATAGAATTGCATCAAACCAAAAAGCTTTGCACAGCAAAGGAAATGATCAACAGCATAAGGAGACAAACTATGAAATAGGAAAAAAATATTTGCAAACCATACAAATTGATAGAGTTAATATCTGAAATATATAAGGAACTCATACAGCCTAATAGCAAGAAAACAAATAACCTCTTTTAAAAATGGGCGAAAGACTGGAATAGACATTTCTCAAAAGAAGACATACAAATGGCCAACAAGTATATGAGAAGATGCTCAGCATCACTAATTATCAGGGAAATGCAAACAGAAACCACAATGAGATATAACTTTATACATGTTAGAATGGCTATTACCAAAAAGACAAAAGATAACATATTGGCAAGGATGTGGAGAAAATGGAATGCTTGTACACTATTGGTGGGAATACAGATTAGTACAGTCATTATGGAAAATGGTGGTTCTTCAAAAAATTAAAAATAGAACTACTGTATAATCCAGCAATCCTATTCCTGGGTATAGATTCAAAGGAAGTGAAATCAGTATATTGAAGAGATATCTGCAGCCCCATGTTTACTGCAGCATTTTCAAAATTGCCAAGATATGGGATCAAATTATTCATTGAAGGATAAATGGATAAAGGAAATTTGCTAGATATACACATTGGAATACTATTCAGCTTTTAAAAAGAAGGACATTCTGTCATTTGTGATAACATGGATGAACCTGGAGGACCTTACACTAAATGAAATGTTAGACACAGAAAGACAAATACTGCATGATCTCATTTATATGTGAAATCTGAAAAAAATCAAACTCAGAAGTACAGAGTGGAATTGTGGTTACTAGGGACTTGAGGCAGGAGGTAGGGGTGAGAAATGAGAAGGAGACGTTTGTCAGAAGGTACAAAGTTTCAATTAGGATGTATAGTTCTGCAGATCTATTATACAGCATGGTGACTAAAATTAATAATGTATTGTATACTTGAAAATGACTCAGAGCATAGATCTTAAATGTTCTTATCACAAAATAGAAATAACTGTGCTAAATGTTATGCATATGTTAATTAGCATAATTGTAATCGTTTCACAATGCATATGTATACTGGAACATCATGTGGTACACTGTAAATATATACAATTTTTACAAATGGTCAACAAGTATATGAGAAGATGCTCTACATTACTAATCATCAGGGAAATGTAAATAGAAACCACAATGGCATGTAACCTCACACATGTTAGAATGGCTATTAACAAAAAGACAAAAGATGGCATGTATTGGCAAGGATATGCTGTGTTCATGAACTGGAAGAATTTAATATTGTTAAAATGTCCATACAACCAAAGTAATCTGTTGAATCACTGAAGGTGTATTTAATTTGTTAGAATGTCTGTTCTAACAAATTAGAATGGTATTTAATTTGTCAATTATACCTCAGTAAAGCTGTGGGAAAACAAACAAAGAACTACCAAGAAATACCATATAATCAGATACGGGTGAAACTTGCCTCATCCTGAGGTAAACTTCGTCTCTAGCTGTGAACCTGTGAAACCAGTCAAGTTACGTGCTTCCAAAATGCAATAATAAGACACGCAAAGGAGAGATATTTCTACGCCAAAAGGGAAAAATTGGAAGAAAGGAATGGATGATGTGTCTCAGAGAAGTGTAAAACCTAACAAGGCAAATTCTATTTGATGTTAAGACTTGAAAATAATACTTTTTGGTTCAATATTTTGCTCTCCAGTTCCTCTGGGATGGCAGGGTCACCCTGATGACCCTGTGAGTGAGGCAGAGTCTCTCTGCAAGGGCCCTGCCCACAAGGCTCCCTGTAAAGGTGGGTCCTGCCCTAGAGGCACTGAACAGGGTCATCCTGCCCCATGGAATCTGGAGAGGTGGCCCCAGTCTTTGAAACCTGGAAGGAAACAGTCCTGCTCCCTGGGCCTCTTGTAGGAGTAGCAGCCCCAGTGATCTCTGAATCCCCTTAGGGGTCATTCTTCCCTTTGCGTGAATAGTGGTCCAGTCCTTGTAGAATCCAAGAAGTCCCACAATCTGCCTTAATTCTTTTCTGCTTTCTCTGCACCATTTACTTCAAACTCTTGGTGTCTTAGCTGGTATAATCTCATCTCTGTTCCTGGTTTCTGTCAATAGAGCTGATGAAGTCCTTGAGTCCCAATCTCTCTTTATCTGTTTATTAGTCAAGAATTTTTTTCTAGGCACTGGAAATATAAGATATTGTTTCTGCCATGTTATGTGTTTCCTTAGCAATATGTTCCTACTCTAGCTCAAAACCCAGCACTCACAGACTGTTGTATGACATCATTTAAACTTAATCACCTTCTTAAAAGCTCTGT